GGAGGAGGACATCCCCCCACCCCTCCCCCCAAAAAAAATCCCTGCTCCGGTTGGGACGACCCCCAGCATCACGCGTCTGCCTCTGCCCTGGGCATGGGAGCAGAGACATCTCCACGTCTTCCCGCTCGGAAAAGCCTTGCCTCATGCCGGAGGACTGGACGGAGCTCCTTTGTATCTCCAGGAACCCCAAAGCGAGCTCAACTCATCATTTCCCAGCCATTTTAAGGACTATTTTGGCTAAAAATTATTTTTTTTTAGAAGCCGGAGCCCTCCCTTGCAGCTGCTCCTCCAAAGAGCCTCACCTTTTCCACCTCCTCCTAGAGATGGTTCTTGCTCTTTCTCCAGCTCAGATGGCAAAATGTCTAGGGAATGAAGAACAAAGGTTGGACATCATGCTCTCTGCCCGGAAATTCTGCTCGCTCTTGTCCCCGTCGTTTGTTTTTTTTTTTTCCTGGGAAAACAGGAAAAACAGCAGCAGGCAGAGCTGCCCCCTCCCATAATGGGGGGACAACCCCCCATCAACCCAGTCATGCTCCACCATACCTTGAAATCTCCCCAGCGTCTCTCTGAGGACATCGTTCTGCCGAGAAACGGCACGGAGCCTCCTCTCCAGGTCCGAGAAGGTCTCCATCATCCTCCGAGCACTGCCCACCTCCCACCTGGATGCAAACCTTAGAGATGGGACTTGTGATGGCATGAGATGCCAGAACCATCCCTCCTCCCCCTGCACCTCAGGCAATTTGGGGATGGTGCATGAGCTGTCTGTCCCCAAAACGTCCCTCTGTCTCAGGCTCGGAGATGCCAAGCAGCTCTGTACAGGAGGACACTTGGGTCCCCGTTGCCCTGATGGCCAAGAGGACCTCTGGTCTTGGGGTGCTTTCTCTCATGGTGTCCCCACGCTGGGGTTCAGGGGCACCTCCGTGTCTCCAGACCTTTCCAAGCCTCACTTCAAGCCCTGCCTGAACTGCCAAAAATTTCCATCTGTGCTCCAGAAACCCGGGGGATGCTGCTTGCAAGCCTTCCCCCACCGTTGAGACGTGGGTGGTGGAAGAGCACGTACCTGTCCACGGTGCTTCGGGCATCTCATGGTGTCCCCACGCTGGGGTTCAGGGGCACCTCCGTGTCTCCAGACCTTTCCAAGCCTCACTTCAAGCCCTGCCTGAACTGCCAAAAATTTCCATCTGTGCTCCAGAAACCCGGGGGATGCTGCTTGCAAGCCTTCCCCCACCGTTGAGACGTGGGTGGTGGAAGCGCACGTACCTGTCCACGGTGCTTCGGGCGTCCTGGAATAGAAGGAGAGAGAAAAAAGCTTCAGCCTCCCATCCCCAAATTGGGGGAGACCCCAGCCAAGGTGACGCTGGACCCTCTTCTGTCTTGCCCGGTAGAACATCCGACCTGCAGGAATCTGCTCGCAGGTTGCTCGAGCATCTTCTCCATCTCACAGATCAGGATGTCGAGGAGCGAAATCTCCCCTGACATCTTGGTCTCCTCTTCCTCCTGCCTCCTCATCATCTCTCTGTCCAGCTCTCCCAGCCGGGCCAGGAGGACGAGCTCCTGGTCCTTCAGAAACCGGCGCAGCTGCCGAAATTCCGACACGATCTTCTGCCTCTCAACCTCCGTCTGCATCTGCAGGACGTGGAAAGACACCACCGTGGACCACACTGGTCCAACACCTCTCTTTTTGTCCGGGTGATGGCAACAGCTACTTACCAAATAGTCCTGGCATTGCCTCTCTCCGCTTATTTTCAATTCCAAAATCTCTTCCCTTTGTTTCTTGAGCTTCTCCAGGTCACTGTGTATTTGCTCCTGGAGGAAGAAGAAGGGTTTGGGAGGGTATCTAGGTGGAAGTGGGGAAGGAATGGGAAGCTTGGAAACACTGCCCCTG